CTGTGATTAGTTCTCCATCGCACTTGAATAACTCTTAGAAAGGACACAATTATGGCCGGTCATAAACATTGAGAAGAGCTTTTTGACATATTTGGACGACAAAAAACCAGCCTTTTAATTTTGGTCAAGTGTGTGGTGCTTCTGTTTGAAACCTCTCCACATTAAATACAGCCTACGTTAGCCCCAAAGCTTGGCTGGAGCTATTTCAAAAACACAGGCAAGAACACCAGGCATTTCTCTATGGTGTCGAGGTTTTGAAAGAAAATAAATAGAGCATGAGAACTTGGGGAGTCACTCCATTCCAGAAGTATTCAGTCCCGTTTTGGAACAATCCCCCTATCTGTATGTATGTGAAATGTCCTTTATTACCCCTCATTGCTACAAGGGTCAGATTTGCCATCGGAAAAAAGAAAAAAAAACTTTACTTTTTTTTTCTTTTGTATTTTAATAAACACTGAAGAAGCTGGAGCTGTTAAATTTCATCTTGGAAAAACTCAGAACAGGTTTGTTTGGTGGAAACTCTTACTGCTTTCTTACACAATTAGTAAGGACTGTTTTGTATACTTGTTTTCAGTTTTCATTTCAACAAATAAGCACTGTAATTAAAGCTATTAGAATAAAATCTCTGAACTAGCAAAAAATGCTACTCTTTTTTTTTTAAATGCTACTCTTAGTAAGGCTACCTTAGGCAGCTGTTCTGGTGACTTTTCTCTGTTTAATTTTCTCTCCTCTTTGTCTAAAAGAACTCTTTTGGAGCTCTTTTTTATAAATTTTTTACTCTCTTCTCTTTGTTCTTTGTGGTCTAAATAGGAAGTAACAGCATCAGTTCTTCCCTGAAAAGGGAATTCTGAATCATACTGAAAGATCAATTTCTCAGGACTTTAGGTGGCTCTAAAAATTTTAATTTTAGATGAGTTTCAGGATATTTCCACATATGGAGTTGCCTATTATCGATGAAATCAAATGTCTGCCTGGACTAAAAGTTGTAAAGTCATAACATTCAACTCAATTCCAGGTTGTGTATGATTAGAACTGTTCATTAGGGGAATGGAACACTTCTAGAATTTAATTAAAATCCCAGAATTAGAAAACCTAAAGCTAGAAGGGGCCTCATCAACCACGTCATCCAACTTATATCCCAAAAGGAAACCCCAATAAAACATATTTAACAAATGATCATCTAGCCTATACTTGAAATGCTACAATTCTCAATTGTCCAATTCTGTGAATTTAATTTAACATTTAACAAGGAGCTTTTACTTACAAGGTACCATGCTAAGCAAGAGGGAAAAAAAAAGACAAAAAAATTTCTTTGACCTCAAGGAGCTGATATTTTCTCTACTAAAGAAATACTTCAGCCTAGGAAAATAGCTCCTCAAAGCAGATCAGAACTGCCTATGACATCATAGGAATCTCACAGCACTTCAGGCTTTCAGAAATAAAGAGACTTTTCTGGGGCACACAGCTGGCCAAAAGCAGGATTTGAACTCTGATGCCCCTGAGTTCAAACCCAACTTTCTCTCCTCTCTGCTAACCTGTCTTTTTACAACAATGGTGTCAAACTAAAACGGATCTCTGAAATAGCATATTGACTTAGCAACCACAAATTAACAGTTTCTAGGTTGTATTGTATTTTTATTTATTTTGTTAAACACATTTGAAACCTCTGCTTAACAATATTTATACAGATAAATAAATATGAAGGAGGACTGGTCAATGAGAACACAGTGCCATGGATATCCTCCCAGGCCTGGGCTCTCACTGGCTATTCTCCCCTCCCCACCTGCCAAATCCTGATTTACAGTTTGATTTTCAAAGGGAGATAGCACTAAAACCTGGGGTTATCTGGAAAGGCTTCTTGGAAGAAGTAGCAGCTGGGGTGAGTCTTACAGGATGTTATAACACAGGTTCTCTGACTCTCTGGTCTCTTAGAGCCAAGCAGGCTACATTGTCCCCTCAAGACACCAAAGGGTTTAGGAGTATACTTTCTCCCTATCATAAGACCAGCTGTGTTCCTCCTATTCTAGGTGGCCAGTAACTAGCACCCCAGGCCTATTTAACTATTTAACACTAGGTATCTTTTACAAAGGGGTATTTACTTTACAGATATAGCAAGAAGGAGATAGGAATTAAAGCTGAGGGTAACCCCCAAAACTAATGGAGAGGAATATAGTGGGAGCCCATGGTCTGGATAATATTGCCAAAGACGTCTTGAACAGAAAAAGAAAGATAAAAAGAAGGAATCAGAAATATATGACCCAGAGAGGAGATAGTCTAGTAATATAGCAAAAACAAGATATAGCAACGTAGCTAAGCCCTAAAGCGCTATATAAATGGCTCTTATTATAAAAATAGCTATAATCATAGCCATAATTATGGCTTGTCATAGCTATAATTACAGTTATTATTTACCTATAATTACTAATAGCTATTATTATAGTTATTATCTCCTGCATTAGAATGTGAGCTCCTTGAGATCCGGTTCCGTTTTGATTTTCACTTTGGATGCCCAACGGGTTGGCATAGTAATTACTCAATAACTGCTTTCTCCTTCTGTGACTCATCTTGGGGGCTCTTCCTCCCCCAGTCTCCCATGGAGGAGTTCTGGTAGCCAATCGACAATGGTTGATCAGAACTGGCCTCCCATATGAATCCGAGTGGCACCGTCCCCTGCTCCCTAGGAAGCTGTCCGAAAGGGGCACCCCTTGCAGCTTACCCCAGCCAAGTACAAACCGCACTCTAGGAGTTGCAACTCTTCATCTTCTTCCTCCTCTTCTCTCTCCCCAGCCAAGGTTGGCCCCCTGGTGTTTCCCAAACCTACCAGTCCTAAGAAGCCAACCTCTGGGGAGAGAAGATCCCCAAACCCTAGGAAGCCCTGAGTGATCCCTTTAAGGATTCTAGTCCCCTTAGCTGCTCCCCTGAGGAGCGCCGAGGCCCTCTGAGCCGGACCAGCAGAGCAGAATGGGGATCCCGCGGGGTGCCAGTGGTTATAATGACAGTAGGAGAGACTCGCAAAGTCGCCCACCACTCTGCCGTCGCTCCTTCAGGTCTCCGACGTTCCTTTTGGAGAAATCGCATGGCACCCCAAATTCCTGGAGCTGCAGTGAACACCCCTCTATTTCCCTAATAGAGCCACAGGGGACAGGGACCCCATCTGCTTCCCTCTCCTTTGAACTCTGGCATCGTCTTGTGGGAAGGTCCCCTTTCTTCCCCTCTCCTCTGTTCCTGTGAAATGTTGATCTCTGTGAGGTTTTTCCTGATTCACGTGTTTTGGAGGGTTTGGGTGGGAGGGCATGAACAGAGAAAGGTATGGTTTGGGGTTCCCCAATCTTGAGTTCAAGACAACGGGAGGGAGATGCTCTCTTACCCTGCCAGACTCCTGAATTTACCAGAAGCTGACAGTTGGGAACTGGAAGGGAGGGGGCTATGAGCAGCTGGGAGTAGGGGTTGGGAGTGGGGAATACCTCAGTATGCCCTTCACCTCCCATTGGTCGTGAGCCTCTCCTCCCGACTTTTCTTCACATTTCTTAAAAGACATTAAAAAAAAAAGTCTGTGCAGACAGAACAACTTTTCTCTGTCCAATAAAAATGAGAAATATTTGGAGGATGAGATGAGCAGGCATGGATGGGCTGGAACCTGCACCAGAGGAGCTGCATCAATGAGATGTTGACTAGTTCCTAGGTGGGATACAGAGATCGCAGCCCGCCCATGCTTTTGAGGTCCAGAAGCAGGATCCTCTTTCCAGGTGAAAGAACCTTTGTAAGTCTGAATCACGTACCACGCTATCTGAATTGTGTTCTTGCCTGATTCTGCTCCCTCTGGTCTAAAAGTCCCAAATGTAAATATGTTAAGAGTTAAAACATCCCCATCCTCTCAGCAGGGAGCCAGTCAAAGGAGGTCTTTTTCTTTCGAAGATCTAACACAACCCACAGCCCACTCCCCTGAACTCAGTAGAAATATAAATCCCTCTCCCAAGAGCAGGACTTGTGCTTCCCAAATCAGATTCAATCTGCCAGCCGGAGAAAGCAGAAGCACCATGGTTACAGAGGGAGAAACCCCAAGAAGCAGGGTTCAGGTTGAGTGAGTGGAAAGGAGGAAAGAGGAAGAAGGTCAGCCATTCCCAACCGCAGCCTGCATGACCCATGAAGAGGAAGCACTTCTAATTCTGGACAGGCAGTTTTCCTCAAAGCTCTTCAGGTCGGTGAAGCAGATTGGAGCTTGCCTGGTAGGTGCTGCTTCTTAAAGCCTTCTTTTCCACTCAACAACCCCCATTCTAGTGCCTTCCCTCTGTTAATTATTTCCTATTTATCCTGCACTTAATTTGCTTTCTATATGCGTGTTTGGTCGCTGTCTCTCCCTTCAGATCTTGAGTTCCTTGAGGACACCGACTGTCTTTTGCCTCCTTTTAGATCCTCAGCTCTTAGAACAGTGCCTGCACATAGTAGGTGCTTAATAAATGTTTGCTGATGGGTGGATTGAACCAGTCTCTTTCCTTACCTCTTGCCATTTACACATAATCCCCTCCAGATACAGACAGAGAGATGCTTCACTAACGAAGAGATTTTGGTTTCTCTGTGGTCTGTGTAATCATTTACTCCTCGCTAGGCAGTCACATTTCCCTAGATCATCATTCATTCTCTCTCCTGTTAATGTGTAATATACACTTGAGCAAAACCAAAACAAAACAAAATAAACAAAAAACAAAAAAAAAACTTGAACAAAAGAATACGTAGAATAAGTAAGATACTTATTTAGAGTATCTCATTTTTGTCTCTATTTCTTCCATTTTAGAAAATACGTCTCCCCCTCCCCCAACTGTAGTCAGTGGCTGCTACCGGATAAAGCGCTGGGCTTGGAATTAGGAAGACTCATCTTCTTGAGCTTAAACCTGGCCTCAGACACTCAGTATCTGTGTAAGTCACCAGGAAAGTCACTTCACCCTGTTTGCCTCAGTTTCCTCATCTGTAAAATGAGCTGGAGAAGGAAATGGCAACTCCAGTATCTTTGCCAAGAAAACCCCAAATGGGATCACAAAGAGTCGGATGCCACCGAAAACCAACTCTGAAATCCCCACTCAAATAGGTGGGCCAGGTCGCCCAAGAGCAGCTGATTGCCACTACTTTCAGGACTCTAGGGGTAACTCTGAGGGTCTAGTATTGTTCCTCGTGAGCCTCCACCAACATACTTCTTTTTGGTTATCAGCCAGACTGTATTAGCTTGAGAGAGGGTGGTTATTAAGCAGGCATATCAAAGACAGCTGTTACAAAAACAATCCCTCTGAAAGGGGGTTGGAGGGGATACACTCTCCCCTTGCATGCACAAACGTCCTCAGAAAGAGTGGACTTAAATGTCAAGCACAAAGGCAGTGAGGCACACACCAGGGAACCCACATGGCAAAGGGGAAACTCCTTGTACCTGGTTCCTGGAGGTTTTCTTCTCCCTTTCCAGAGTCCTCAGGAAATTCCGTTTAGGTCAAGCACTGTACTGATCAGTGCTCCTGGGGAGTCCATGGCTGACACTTTTCCCTGCCCTGAGGGGTCATGCTCCCTGAATTTGCCTTGCCTAGGTGTGTATAGTTTGCCCTTGACCTGTCTTTCAACTCATCATGGATGCTGTCACCAGCAACATCTGCTCCAAGGAACTGCTACCCTGCCCATAGGATGAGAACTCCTGCCATTCCAACCTTTAGAGGTTACAAGGTGACTACCTCATCCAAAAGGCCAATTGCCTCTCAAGAGTCCTTCCCTACAAAGCTCAAAATGTGGCTCAACGTTTTGCTGAAATCTAGGTGAACTCTATCCCTGCCTTTCATTCACTCTGACTGTCTGGTAACACTGAGAGAAAAGGAAATGGAGCTGGTCTGGTTTAACCTATTGTTAGTGAGATCATGATGAATTTGCGTGGTCTTCACTTCTTTCTCTGAATGGTCACTAGTTGTACACTAAGTAATGACCTAGAATTTTGCCAGGAATTATGGTCTACACCCCCTTCTCATACTTTGCAGTTTCCAATTTCTTTCTTTCTTTTTCTGCCTACCTTCCTTTCTTTTCTTCCTTTTTTCTTTCCTTCTTTTTTTTTCTCCCTCTCTCTTTCCCTCCTTTCTTTCCGAAAATTGGGGCACTTGGTCTCTCTCCATTTCTAAGGCACTGTTTCATTTCCAGGACCTTTCAAATATCTCTACCAGTGATTCAGTAATCACCTTTAAAGCTCTTTCAGTACTTTGCAGTTCCCTTTCTGTACCATGACACCAGAGACATGGATGACTTGACTTCCTCACAAGTAGAGCAGTCAAAATGTGGAATGACCAGCCTTGGGAAACAGGGGTTTCCCCCTCATTAGGGACCTTCAAGCAAAAGCTGAACGGCCACTTGTCAAATACACAATGGAAGAGATTCTCACTTATTATTGGATGGACTTCTGAAGTTTGTTCCTACTCTAACAATCTGCAATTTTGTGACTTGAACATGTCAGAGGCAATTGAGATCTCTCCTCATTTTTTGTTCCATATTTTGGGTTTTGCCTATTTATTCTCCATTTTTGCTTCGCCCTTTCTGGTCAGAAAGATATCATCATTAGCAGAGAAAACAGAAGCTACCTAGTCAAATCAACACACATTGATATAGTGTCCCCTACGTGCTAGGCACTGGTGCTAAGTGCTGAAGATACAAAAAAAGGCAAAAGATGGTCTCTGCCCCTGAGTTCAAAGTCTCGTGGAGGAGACCACCATCAAATGATACACCTATGATAAACTGAGGATAATTTGAGGGGTAAGGCACTAAGATTAAGGAGGGGGGAAGGGCTTCTTGAAGAAGGTGGGACTTGAGCTGAGACTTGAAGGAAAGTAGGGTAGCTCAGAGGTGAGAGGAAGAGGGAGACTTTTCCAGGGCTGGGGGACATCTCGCATAAGGAACAAGAAGGCCAGGGTGGCTGGACCTGAAGGAAGCTAGAGAAGCTAGGGGGCAGAGATAAGGAGGGAGAACACTGCGGGCTTGGAGGACAGCCAGAGAAAGTGACTGACAGAAGAGGGTGAGGGAGGGCATTCAGAGCAAGGGAAACAGTGTTAAGTGAAGGCGCTGAGGCCTGACGTCAGGCCTCCGGGAATGACAAGGAAGAACAGTCTGGCCTGACTGAGGTGTAGAGTGGGTGAAGGAGAGTAAAGTGAGAAATCAGTCAATTAAAACGAGCATCGACTGGGCACTCACGAGGGGCCAGGCATTGTGATAACAAGCAATGGAGCCACGCACAACAAAGACAAACACACGGGGGCAGCTAGAGGGCGAAGTGGATAGAGCGCCCCCTGGAGTCAAGACCTGAGTTCAAATGCGGCCTCGGACACTTGACACTTAGCAGCTGTGTGACCCTGGGCATGTCACTTCACCCCATCGCCTGGAAAAAGCAAACAAAGAAGCAGTCACTGCCCAGAAGAAACTTACATCGTGATGGGGGCGGAGAGGAAACCTGTCTGTTTCCAAGAGGGCAGATGACGTCACCGGTGATGTCTGGACTCTCGCACGAATTGGATTTGAGGGAGAAAGCCTGGGATGGCCCAGGGCGCAGGGGCCGACCTCGGGGCCAAGGTGAGGAGGCTGAGTGCCAGACAGAGGGCAAAGGGGCATGCGCAGCCCGCCCCGGACGGCCGGACACCCTCGAGATTTACATCAATGTCAGCCTCTCTACTCGTCTTCTACTAGAACTGAAAAGTTGGGTCACGCAGCTACGCGGCAGGATTTGAACTCGGGGCTCTCCGCCTCCAAAAGTCGTGAGGTCCGCTGCACTCCAGCCTGAGCTACTTTGGGGAGATGGCTTCAGCTCGCTCCGTGGCATCGGGGAGTGGGCGCTTTGGCCCTCCCCTCTCTACAGAGGTGACGCGGGGAGACCTTGGACAAGTCACCTCCACCTCTGGGACTCAGTTTCCTTTCCTGTAACATGAAGGGCTTGGACTAGGCGCCTTCTCCTTCTAGACGTGGGATCCTATGGCTGACGGTCTAAAGCTCCCGACCGAGCTCGGAAGAAACGGGGAGGGGGCGTCCCCCCACCCCCGCGCCACCTGAGCTAGGAGGGGGCTGTGCTCCCCCGCCCCGCCGCCGGTGAGGGGAGGGGCCACGCGCTCCCGCGGCTTGGCTGGGCGAGCCGAGCGCCAGGGGGCGTGGCCTGGCGGAGGCGCGCGCTCCCGCGCGCGCTCCCGCGCTCGAATCCCGCTCTCGCGGTGCTTGGCTCGGGAGCTCTCTGTAGCCGTCTCTGGAGGAGCTCGCTCGTCCGGGCCTGAGGCGCCGCCGCTCGCTTGGTGAGTCCTGGGAGCGGGGCCGGACTGGCGCGGTGGGGGGCGCCGCTGTTACCGCTGCCGTGGGGCCCTGGCCGCGCAGGGGAGCGGAGCGGGGCCGGGCCCGGGCCCGGGTCTGGCGCTGGAGCGGCGGCCGGCCCGGCTCCCTCCTCCTCCCCCACCGGCCCCAGTGCGCTTGCGCGGCGTCCCTGGAGGGGGGAGCGGGGGGAGATGGGGCCTCCTTCCCCTCCCCCTCTTCTTCTCTCTTTTCTCTTTCCTGTCCTGCGCCCAAGCCTGGCCTGGGCTCCTCTGTGATCCTGCACTTCGCTATGAACTTTAACCTGGACCCCCCCATAAGAGCCCCGCCCCCAAGTTGGATTTTGTCGGTGGAGCCCGGAACCCCGCCCCTCGCCCAACACTCGGGCCGCCTCCCCCTTGTATTTCACCGGATAAAACTCAGCCGAGGAGCAGCACGGTGACAGGCTGGCCTGCGGGGCTGGGCCCCCCGGACACCCCCTGGGTCCTGCTTCTGTTTGGTGCATGCCCCTCCCCCCATTTTCCATAGTAGTGTAAACAAACAGTTATTGGTCAGCACTCCCCTCCCCCTCTGGTAGAGGAGACCCTTGGCAACAGTGAAGAGAGTTCTGACTCTTGTTCGTGGCCCAAGCCTGAAACTGCCCTGGGGACCCGTCTGGGTCAGTTTCCTCATCTGTAAAATGGGGATAACAATGTTACACTATCGAACGCCATAAACCTTATAGTGACAAATACACACCAATTACTGTCTAAGATAAGGGCCTTTTTAATCCTCTTAAGCCAGTCCTGGAATATGAATTCATAGGTACCTACAATTTAGAACCTCCAGGGACTGTGAACCATTTTGGATTAGTGGGTAGAGCTCTGTCTTTGGAGTTGGGAAGACCTGAGACATTTATTAGCTGGGCAAGTCACTTAATCTTTGTCTGCCTCAGTTTCCTCATCCAAAAATAGGGATAATAATAGCACCTGCCTTCAGAGGTTGTCCTGAGGATCAGAGATCATGTTTTTAAAGTAGTTTGCAAACCTTAGAGTGCTGGCTCCTTGTGTGGGAAAGGGGACTCTTATTCGGGTACAGGTTGAATTAGGTCCTAGCATCACAGCTTTCTAACTGGAAGTGACGCGGAGGAGGGGCACCTACTTCATCTCAGTTCTGAAGAGCAAACCTTGGCGGGCTGTGTGAATTGTGAGCTCTCTGACTTTCACATTCCTCATTTTCATTCAGCGGACTCCAAGGGTCCTTTCCAGCTTTGAATCTGTGACCTTGTGACCCTGTGCCAAACTCTTCATCTTACTGATGGGGGGAGGTTGAGGCCCAGAGAAGGGCAGTGCCTTAACTTGCCCAAACGTCTCTAGGGAGAGAGTGAGTAACCTGCCTTAGGACCTAAACTTATTTCCTTTTCATTCTAATTCTAGCACTTCTTCTACCTGAAGGTCAAGTGTTCAAGTCACCATACTAGCTAATTACTGTAAGGGATAACTAGTCTAGTTGGAGAAATTCACCTCAGCTAAGTAAACATCATGCTGTACCTGTTATATACAGAATACAGTTGAGAGGGAGATCCAAAATTTAGGTAAGGTGTTAGCCCTACTCTCCTGTAGATAATCTTGTAATCTGGGGATAAAACACAGTTATCTAAAATACATACATAGCATAAATAACATTAGAGAATGAGAAAACATGATTCTGTGAGGTTAGAGGGCGAAGTTATCACCCAGGATAGCTTCATGGAGGAGGTGCTCTTTGAATTGGGTTTTGGGGTTTTAAAGGCTGGGTAGGAATTCATCAGGATGATGTTCTGGTCCTAGGGGACAAAATACCAAGCTTTAGAAAAACAGTGTTTGGGGGATAGAGAGTAGTTGTCAGTTTGGGCTGGAGCAGAGTGAAAAGTCATAACCCAGATAAGGCTGAAAAGGTATTATTATGTAATTTTGGAGAGTCTTTACCAGAATAGTGCTTTCAGGTTTACCTAGTGCTCTGTGTACAGAGCATTGTGAGAATTGAGGTGATGGGATGTTGTTGTTGCTGAGTGATGGGTTTGCCAAGGGAGGAATGTCAGAAGAGCAGAGAGCCACCTACAAGAGAGCTTGGTGGCACTCAATGGAGAAGGGTGGAAAAGATGGTATAAAGGGAGTAAAGAGGTAGGGAGCGAACTTCATGACTTTGAGCCCAGGGAAAGCAGGTATATGGAAAGAGGGGATGGTCACCATCCTTGTCTAACACTGCAAGAGGTCAGGGACTTTTTAGAAGATATATTTGGTGATGAGGTAATTTCAGTAAAATGGAAGACACCAAAGGTGTATTTAAGTAGGTTGCTAGAGATTGAGGAGAGAGGGGATGGTAATTAAGTGGGGTGATACTGAGTATGTACAGATTTTTCAGCACATTTATCTGTGAAAGGGAATGAAAAACCCTTTTTCAGGATTAAAATCTGAATGTCTCTGTAGACAAATAAACAGAAACCAGTGGAAAGAGAGAGACTGAAGATGCATGAGAAGGAGAGCATGATTCTTGTATCAGACCAAGTAGGGCAAAGATAGAAGAATTAGTTTAAGGAGTAGAGACCTTTCTCAGAGGAGGTAGAGAGGAGAGAATGGTGGTGATGATCAGAAATTTTGAGGCATAGAATGTGGGAATTGAAGGATCTCATGCTGGATTATCTCAGTCTTCTGTGAAAGTAGGCTGAATTCTGTGGGGGTAGACCACAAACAGAACTGCCTCTGAGGCTAGGTGGAATCCACCCACAGTTGTTCTACTACTACTACTACTACTACTACTACTACTACTACTACCACTGCTACTACTAGCACTACCACTACCACTACCACCACTACTGGCAGCTAGGTGTCGAAGTAGATAGAGCATTGAGCCTGGAGCCTGGAAGACCTAATTTTTAAGAAATTATTTTCTTCAGTGAGCTTTTAGACCTCCTTTTACATTTGGCCAGTTCTGCTTTTTAAGGCATTATTCTCCTCATTGGCTCTTTGGACTTCTTTTCTATTTGGCCTAGTCTGTTTTTTAAGGTATTTTTTTTTCAGTATTTATTGTGCCTCCTTTAGGAAATAGTTGACTCTTCTTTTCTCGCATCATTTCCATTTCTCTTCTCTTTCCTCCACCTCTCCTACTTGATGTTTAAAATCCTTTTTCGCTCTTCCATGGCCTGAAACCAATTTTTTTTTTGAGGCTTTGGATGTAGCAGTTTTTATTATCTGTTTTTGTCGTCCTCCGAATTTGTGTTTTGATCTTTCCTGTTACCATAGTAACTTTCTATACTTAGGATTTTCTTCTGCTGTTTGCTCATTTTTCCAGCCTGTTTCTTGACTTTTAACTCTATGCTGAAGTGAGGCTCTGCTTCCAGAATGGAGGGGCCAAACTTCAGGGGTTTTGTGCAGGTGTTTTCAGAGATAATTCTGAGAACCTGTAAGCATTTGTTTCTTCCAAGGTGGTATGATCTGAGGAGAGGTGTGTTTACTCTTTTCCTGGCCTGTGTTCTGTCTGTGAGTGACCACAAGCACTCTTTTCCACCCTGGAACTGTTACCAGGGTCCCAGTTCCCCTGTGATAGCAAGCTGTGGTATTTCAGTGCTCTTCCTGGCTCTGGGACTGAGACCCAGGACTGTGACCCAGATGCAGATATGAGCAGTGCAACAGAGTCCTGCCCCATGCCAGCAGAGGGGTCCCTGTTATCTCTTTTGCTATCTGTGGGCTGAGAGGTCTGGAAACTGCTACTGTCATCACTGATTCAGTCACCCCCAAGGCCTGTTGCTGGTTTGGTGGGGTATGGCCTGAACTAGACTATGCTCCTCTCTCACCCAGGTGCAACAGACCTTTCCTGCTGACCTTCTAAGTTGTCTTGGGCTGGAAAATTGCTTTACTCTGTCGTTTTGTGGGTTCTGCTGCTCCAGAATTTGTTTTGAGGCAAAGTTTAAAACTTTTGCTGTAGGGGGGCTCGTGTGCAGTGTCAGTAAGAGTAGAAGGATTATGGAACTGAAGTGGGGATTCAGCTGAGACTTAGGCACTGTAAATTTGGAGTGCTTTAAGTCATGTCACAGAATTATAGAGAAGGAATGCCCACTCTGACAACCAACAGGTGTTTGTCCAGCCTCTGCTTGAGGACTTCCAAAGAGGGTCAGCATTGGGGGGGGGGTTGTGGCTTTCTCCAGTGGTGCTTAGCCCTTGGGGAGGAGGAGAAATACATGCTTGAATTTCCCAGGCTTGGTGATTAGCAGATTTAGAGCTGCGGAAAGCCAAGTCAAACTGCTGTTTATTAAGCGCTTACTATGTGTCAGACACCCTACTAAGTGATGGAGGTACCAAGAAAGGTGAAAATAATCCCTTTCTTCAAGGAGCTCACGGTCTGATGAGGGAGTCAGTTTGCAAATGACTACCTTCAAACAAGATCGACACAGGATAAAGTGGTGATATTCTCAGAGGAAAGGCACTAACTAGCATTAAAGTGAATCAAGTGGCTTCTCGAAGAAGGCTGAGACCTGAAGGTAACCAAGAGGCAGCCTAAGTCCCTACCGTGTGCTCAATATTAGAGATTCAGCCAGGGAAGACACCAGCATTAAGTGGGTTGGGAAAGCTGCTTTCAGAGTTTTAATGAGAGGAAATGAAAAGGGCCAAGTGGAAAGGTGAGAGGTAGAACTTCTTTCTTTGAGGCTTAAACAACTTCCCTAATGTCTAGGCTAAAACTCAGCCTTCTGTAGGAAGCCTTCTCTGTTAACTGTGTCCAGTTTATTCTGCATCCTTTGTTTTTATGTAATTGTTTGCATGTTGTCTCCCATCTTAAGATTAAGCTCCTTGAGAACAGATTTAACTTCCTTTGTGTCCCCGAAACTTAGCATAACATCCAATACATTGCTTAATAAATGTTTATTGACTGACTGTGGAAGAGAAAGAGAAGTAGAAAGGTGGGGAGATGAAGGACCTTCCCACATGACCTTAATAGGGAAAATGTGGGCTCCACTATTCATGGCATGACTGAT